TTGACGACCACCTCCTTCCTCAAACGAGACCCAAAACAAGCTAGGCGGAACAACAGGTTAGAGGGCAAACCCGGTCACACGGCGTGCCTTGGGATCCAATCTGTGAATTCCCGCGAGGTTTAATCCGTATTGTTGGCCGCCTCTCGATCTTCCTGCCGTACAATTAAACCAATTACGCTGCTAACAATGGTTAACAATGTACACGGGGAACGGATTCAGTCCGCATTGGCCTCCAAAATCCGTAAGGCACGTAGAGCGCAGTCTGCCGGAAGTGACGAATTTGTGGCACGCAGGTGATCCTGTGAACGGTGAATAGCTTCCCGGGTAGTGTTTACCACCTTTACGCGGGTCGCGGGAGAGAAATCCTGCGCCGCAGTTCAAAGTACAACCCCCAGAGGACGAATCACGGAACCCCTCACGTCTCCGAACAGCTGACCCGTCCCGGAATGCCGTGCTGTGTTATGAGAGCGCGCGGTGGGTGGGGTGGTCGGGGTCACCCTGTCCGATACAGCCCGACAAATCGCTAACATTCACCGGTACTAGTACAGGATATACGCGGTGTTCCTCGCCCGCGCCTTTCTGATGACGTGTATCCCCTCCCAGTTTGATATACTATTGTCGTCCGGTGATGACGTGTGTTACCCGCGACAAATGAGTGGCCTGCCCCCCTCGGTGTGACTGTGTGAGAACCCGGCAGATCTGGACTCGTCCAACCGCTTTCCCCGTCACAGACACAGGCCTGCGGGCCAGACCAAAGTTTGGCTTTGTTTATATCAACAGCGCTATCATAGCTATTGGGATCACTGGCAAAATTCCCGTCTCTCTGGGCTAGTCTGCACCAGGCGTTGAAAAATATGCCGTTTGAAAATCACGATTGAAAAATACTCGGAAATTTTAATGCATGTTATTCATTCGACCCGCTATACTGCAGGTACATGTAAAAAAAAACAACATGAAAATAAAAGATAGACAATGGATTACAATACAGTATAACATTTAACTACTAGCACGTCTAAATTCTAATTGATTTTGATACTAAATTCTAATTCATTGGATTCGACTTCTTTCCCGAGGCAGTGGAAGACGAATGATTCCACTTTTGGAGTGTGAACCGATTATACTAGTTAGATTTACACATTTGCAGCCCTCCGACAAAGAATAACCCCAATTCATGCTATATAATATTTTACTATCTACTTTTTTTTCAACCGCCAAACAAGCCTGGCTGAGTGACTTTATCAATTGTTGGCAACGGTTGGACCAGGAAGCTTGGGGTTCTGATTATTCTGAGAATCTTTCCGGCACATGAAGTTGAAAAGGAAATGCTGATGATATCACAGTAATTTGCGGTAAATGTGGTCAGAAGGGGTAAAAATCAGAACAAAACATAATACCTTGTATTAGTATATCCACATACGAGCCCTGTAACCATCTACGCAAGCAGACGTTGGGTGGAAAATCTGAGCTCTTTTTCTGAACGGTTGGCTTTTTTGGCAGTCTTCCACCGAAAACCTTACAACTTTCTAGCCTCTACCAGGCTTCGGGAGGCGACTGGAATTTGTGTAGTGGAAAGAGTAGAAATTGGCCAAATAGAGAGATAACATGCCAGAGGAGTTGGTCCGCTAGAGAGTACATTTTGCGGCGGTATATTACTATATCTCTTTAGTTGGCCGTCTCCCGAAGCCTGGTAGAGGCTAACAATTTTCCACCCCATATCTGCTTGAAGATTACCGTAACCCTTTCCTGACGCTCCTGTTTTGTGTGATGAAACTACCCGTTTTGGCAGCGAGGGTTGGCATCCATGACCCTCTAGGCACTCACTGACAGGTCAGATTTATATATACACAGGTTAGCATGTACTCAATATCTCTCCACCCCAACGCTAACCGTGACTAGAATTACTTTTACAGATAAAAAGAGGTTCGTATGACACGTTTATTTTTAGGTCGGAGGACCAGAGGTGACGAAAGCGTGATGTTTCACCAGATTTCCTGACAAGTTTCTGATGTCATATGTTTTCTGACGCTATGTTTAAATTGACAGATACTATTCACACACGTAGATTGGAAAGTATACACCCCTTAATGTTATTTCAAATAGCAAGGCCTGGGGGTTTGGAGAAACGATGTATTCACGCGTATGTATACGGTTACAACATACATACACTGTTCAAAGCGTATCAGTTATGATGATGAAAACACATAGTAGAGAAGTAGTGTATTAAAATTTTTATGTCTTTAGACAATATATGCACACGTATTTGAATTCAAAGTACATGTAAATACGCTGTTGGCGTAATCGCAAAGCAGATATTGGGAGGAAAGTTTGCGATGTTTTCTGTCATCATCTACGTCGGAGGCCAACTTATCAAAAGACGTGCTGCTAGGTCGTTGCAGTCTTTCCTCCTAATGCATGTATATGCTTGCAGTGCATCTTGATCTATACGGCTTTGGATCCGTAAAAAAATAAAATGTAACTGTAGACGTTGGCATCACTCGTTTTTTCTCAACCCTTTTGTGTTTTTAACGATCTGTACATGTAGTTGCGTAGTGAAGAGGAACGTTGTGATATATTAGCTGCCAAAATGCCTATCCGACAAAGTACAGTTCCCGTGCCCACTTCCCCTTACACGGCACGGTCTACGGCATGTCTAATGACTTCACGGGGACAGTGATGACAGACGGCCACAAAGGCCACGACCAAAAAGAAAAAAGCTCTTGGACTCAAGGGCTTAATTTGTTGGCACGGGTCGGAGCGCTTTTCTTTGTCGGAATGTTCAATTGTGTGCGGAGGTCTCAAACCCCACTATAGTACATAGTATAGTATGAATTCAAAACCGACCATGGCAACAGAAAATTGTCAGGTCACATGGCGACATCTAGCGGTTGATGATATCATTGCAGTATTCGATCAGTTTCATGGCAGCCGACCTGTCAAGGACATTATACACAATGTCCTTGGATCAATAAAGAAGATTCGATCAGTTAAGGACTGCAATACTGCAACCAAATAATAGGGGTCGCTTCTGATCGATACGGTAAGCGCAGTCAACAAACATGTCTGTAATAGTGACTGGATCCCATAAGGCCATGTTGATTTGATTATATGGATGACATCCGCCGAGAACCCCAAAACTGATGCGCGCGTGCGAATAAAAAAAAAGTTTTGCAAAAAGAAAAGTTGTTTTTATCATGAAATCTACGTGGTCATGAGGGTTGAAGAAATGGGACAAGAATATGGTTTAGCGAATAATCTAGTCTTCAAGTTCATTTCTTTACAATTTCGTCTTTTTTCGTTTGATTTTGGCATCCAGCATTCTACGACATTGGTATATTTTTATTTATTATTTTTTTGTAACTTACGGTATATTTTTGTTCATTTTGCAACTGTTTTGTACGATTTACAGTATGGTTGAAAACTTTTTTTTTTGGAAACGGCCGAAAATTCATGCGCGCGCGGATGTCATCCATATAATCAAATCAACATGGCCTAATCGAGAAATCTATGTTTGTGTATGAAAATGCAAATACGAGTATACACAGCAGCAATGGTAGTACAATAAAATACACCTGGCAATGGCAGATAGAAACTGTTTCTTGGTTTATTTGGACACTTGTTTCTCCACAAATAAAAAGTCACATCTCCCTATCAACTAACATCTGCACAGCTACACATGTGGATCTCCGTGTTGTAAGGATCTGTCTTGATGGATGAAAATATAGAAGGTGGGGGCAATTGCAGAAAACGAACAAATACACATTAAATACTATCACTTTTGGCAGAGAGTAGGTAGATTAGAGTTAAATAGTAATTAATTATAATAATAATAGATACCAAAACAGTACATAGAAAGTTTAACTTCAGAGGAGAGGGAGAATTTTACTGGTCTATCCCTGTTTCAATGCAAGGTCTTCCTTTTGAGTACATTTCCAACACTCCCTCCCTCCAACTTTCTTCTAACTTTCCTCTACTGCCTTTCTTTCAAAATGGAATCACCCAGGGATTGTTTTGTATTATTCTAGTGGTTATGAAATATTCCTGTATCTTTCTGTCTAGCAGCCACAGGAAGAATGGTTATACATCAGCTTGTATTACACATACAAGATAATATTGTCAACAACCAAGGGAATATAGACTATAGTCATACTGGAAAATATACCATAAAAAGAGGGCATTACAAGAGTAACTTCCATATTGCTGTATGCCTGATAAAAATGCTGTTAGGTTTTTCTTACATGGCAAACATTAACATAACAAGAATTCCCTAACTGAAATATTTTCCAAGTTATTTCTATATTATAGACTCAACCTAGTTGTTATTATTCCAAGATTGTTCTGTGTTTCTCAAAATGCTTGATATCTTCACTGTATGTCTGCTGATTTCACCACCGCATTTGATTGGAAAGGTGTTTGGTGAAGTTTTTTTTCTAAAATGCCATTCAGTGAACTATATGTTGTATATTAACAATGTCTACTGCCAGTTGCTGAAATGAAAATATGATTTAAAAGGGTAGCACAATTGTCAACAGAAAACAGCTTATTGAATATTAAATTTGCAATGAATAGATTAGCTGACTGCCCATGTGATAGATGACAACAGTTGCATTTTTTGCATTACAACACATAATTTCATGACAATATTAGTTCCAACTTCTCTCACAGTACACTGGTACAATGTGACATAAGTCATACATAGAAGTCATAGTGAAGCATGAAATA